CGTACGTAACGTACCGTACCGTACTACTTACGTCGTACGCGTACGTACGTACGTACGTACGTACGTACGTACTACTAACTTAAACTAACTACGTACGTACGTACGTACTACTACTCTCTCTCTCTCTCTCTCTCTCTCTCTCTCTCTCTCTCTCTCTCTCTCTCACACACACACACACACACACACACACACACACACGCACACACACACAAGAAAAAGAAAATAAAGATAAAGATCTTGGGTCTCAGTGTCTCGCACACACATGCACACACAAAGACAATGAAGAAAGGTATCAGGTGTAACAATGTCACAATACCCAAAAGCAGGACTTTGGCCCTAAAGAAGATGATGGGAAAAGTTGATGAGGACTTTGATTACAATAAAGAAGATGGTGACGGCAACTCCAGGGACCAAGGTGACGAGCAACAGGGCCAAGCCAGTGGTGAGCATGAGCGGCAGATCAGCGTTGGATATATGGCCACCCATTCCACGCTGACATAGATGTTTGAGTCCACTGGGACACCCAGGATGTTCCACGACATTCCTAATGGCTTTAGGGTGTAGAACGATGCTTAGGAGCGCTTCGTTTTTAGTGTGCAATTATGTCTCTACTTTGTCTCCGACTCTTTGTGACTGTAACGTTGTCACTCTACTACTCTAAGTCTTTATCTTGTTTATATGGTTGTTGTATGCTGAATTTCCTATTGTTAGCATGGATTTCTATGGTATGGTCGATGTAATTCATAGCCTATGAAATCCTACTAACAATAAAAAGACCAGATGCTAATGATAGACGATTTGATACTAGGAATTGGATAGATTTAAACTGTGCAAATGATGCAATTTGTTTGATCCATCGACCTCAAAATTCAACAGAAACAACATATATATCAATTCTAGTCACTCAAGAGAGATACAGACGCTGTCGAGAAGCTTTGAAGCATCTCTAGAGCACAAAATATGTCCTTGTCCAAGTCTCTTCTACTCAGTCGAAGTAAAGCAAATCAGTTAATGATAAATTCACAATAAAAAACTACAACAGAAAGACTAAGAGCATTAGCAGTTGCAGAGATACCTGGAATGACCGAATCGAAGGAGAGCAAAGAAAGCGATTCGGATTTGGCAAGAGAAAGCAGGTAAGCATAGTCAGCCCCTTTGCTTTTAGGGCCAACATTAACATTCTCCTGGTTAGGGTCCTCAGGTTGAGCGCCACTGAAGTCGATATCATCGTATCGATCCCAGTTAGAAGGAAGGCGAGAATCATGGCGCGTTAGGGTTTGGTCTGATTGTTTTTTGGTGGAAGGGGAAGGCTTAGGAGAAGGGTTATGGGTTCTTCGGCCATGTAGCGAGTGAGCCCTCTTAGACTTAGCAGAGGATTTCACGTTCATGGTTTCTTCCTCGTAAACCTGAATGCAAAGAAGTTGGATTTCAATGCTTTCCGCGCCACAGATCTTACTTGACTAAGGGCCTGGCACTTTGTAAAATCTAAATTGAATTAAAACAAAACGCTTAGGGAAAAGCTTATATACAGCCTAGGCTCTAATCAATCAAATTAGAGCCTATCTCAAACCTTTCACTAGAAGAGGTCGTTTTGATGCTCAAATATCATCAAATGGATCATCTCTACATCAAACTCCTAACACTAATTGGACAAGGACTTGCCCGAGTAAGCCGGGCTCATCACGGTAGCGAGTCCGAAGTATTCCCGAATTCGTTGTCCAACTCATGGATCTTAAAAAAGAAATTCAAAATAACTATAAAAGATTCAAGAAAAATAATAAATCTATTTGTAACATGTTTTTTTATGTGTTCTATTATTTTAGCAAAGATTAGAATATATTTTGGACATAAATACGTATTTTTATAATTTTCCATCTTTTTTGGATTATTTTGAAAATACCTTAGTGACATATTGATTTTTCAAAATCTATTTTTTTAATTTCATTTAGATGTGTTTTGTTTAATCTTACTTTAAACATATATTTATTATTTTCTTGACTTTTTTTAGTTTTAATTTTTTTTAATACATTTTTTTTCATAGCAAGTGCTTGCCCATCGCGGGCCGATTACTGGGACGCAGCCCACAGCCAGTTTTTGAAGCCAGTTTGTGCAATTGAACAGTGCTCCCAACATCTTTTTTCATTCGATGAGGCCCATGAGGTTCAAATTTTAGTCCCAGTCAGGCCTATAAAAGGTCTAGAGCCTGGCCCATTGCGGTCCTACCATAATACCTCCCCACTTAGTTTCAAGGGAATATTACAAAAAAAACCCCCAAAATATACTTTTTATGCAATTTACCCCCAGCTAACTTTCTCTCTCACTTTTTTCCAAAAAACAAACTTTTACGTAAATAACCCCCCAACCATCCCAAAAATAAAAAAAGACAAAACTATCCTTACTTTACCCATTACCCACGCCTCTCTCGGGCACCATGTAAGTGCACTCCGGCACTGCATGAGTGTGCTCCGGCACTGCGTAAGTGCGCTCTGGCACTGCATAAGTACGCTCCAATAGTGTAACATAGCGCTCTGGCACTGCGTAAATGCGCTCCAGCAGTGGAGCATTCTGAGTCACAAGGCTCCAGTACTGTTTAAGCGTACTCCGGCAATATGCTACGGGAGGGGCACAAAGCTCCGGCACTTCATAAGTGCGCTCCAGTAGTGTAACACAGCGCTTCATCACTGTGTAAGTACGCTTCGACAGGGTAACACAGCGCTCTGATACTGTGTAAGTGCGTTCCGGCAATGTAGCATTCGGCAGTGTAACATAGCGCTTCATCACTATACAAGTGTAACATAGCGCTTCATCACTGTGTAAGTGCGCTCTGACAATGTAACACAACGCTCCGGTACTGCATAAGTGCGCTCCGACAATGTAGCATTTTGAGTCACATAACTCCGACACTAGTTAAGTGCGCTCTAGTAATGTGCTACGAGAAGGGTATTTTTATATAAAAAATAAACTTTTTTCTTTGGGGGGATTTGCATAAAAAGTTTGTTTCTTTAAAAGAGTGAGAAAAAAAATTAGCTATAAGTACGTTACATGAAAAGTCTAGAAGGTTTTTTGTAATTTTCCCCAGTTTCAAACTCCCGACGTGTTATTGGGGCAATGGTGAGGAAGATTGTCCTTACACTACTCTCTTCGCCCGAGAAACCTTGTACTGTTTGGAGTGCTTTTTTGTCTACTTTGTCACCAACGTTTTCAACTAGACTCTATGCTGAACCCTCCGAGATAAGCCTCCGACCCCACGCTCTCTGTATCTCTCTGTCTACTACATAATATACAAGGGCATATGCTCCTTCCTGGTTCATTATTTCAAAGGTGAACTCTCTCTCTTCAAGCCTCACTCTTTCTCAAACATTCAAAGGTGAACTCTCTCTCTTTAAGCCTCACCCTTTCTCAAACATTCAAAGGTGAACTCTCTCTCTTTAAGCCTCACTCTTTCTCAAACATTCAGACTTTCGCATCACTCTCGAAATTAGGCTTTCTCTTACGAGTCCTGAAGCTCTACTGATTTCCAAAGCTAGGCGGTTTCACATCTCTGTTGAAGCATAGCTCTCTCTCTCAAACTTGTGGATTACGAGGGAGAGCGTCTCTCAGCGAAGCTTCCTCTGGCAATCAAAATCAGAGCTTAGGATTAGCATTCGGCGTAGCGGGTTTAGAAGGCTTAATCGGGTGAGTGTTCGAGGGATGCTTATCTCAATCCGATACGGGAATTGAGAGAAGACCTTATTGTTGGTACGTGTGTGGCCATAGGGCTTTTAAACGTGCAATATTTCTTTATCTTATAATTTAATGCTTATCACTAAAAACGAGGCTTCTTAAAAAGAGAAAATGTCGTTATCTAACGGTTCAAAAGTAACCACCTACTTCCCAGGATAACAGGCCACGTTTTCTTAGAAATTTTAGGAGGAAGCCGAATATTAGAGAACGGCCCCCTCCATCCCTCTTTAAGAAGAGTTTTACGGCATGTACACAGAAATTTACAGAGTTCTCACAGTTCTGGTAAAAGCCCGATCTTTGCAAGCGATAGTCTCAAGAAACTGCCCCTAATCCTAGGAGTGGGTCCATCTCTTCTCTCAAGTTTTTCAACATAGGTATTAGAGCAGGTTGTGGAAACGTGGTGGCTCATAATCTATAGGTCCCATTTTTTTTTTGTTATTTTATATTTATTTATTTTTTTCTGAGTTTAATTTAAAGTAACTTTGATATTGTGCTTCGTCATTCACGTATATCTTGCTGTAAATTTTTTAACTTTAAATTTAATAGTCTGAATTTTTTTTTTTTTAATTTCACTCTCTTAATTTACTGCTCATCATTTGTGATTCAGTGTTTGTTTTTACTGGTATTGTTGGTTTTGGAATATTTTCTCTCCGTAAATTCTTTTGCCATCTTTTCTCTCTCTAGATTGCATTTGGCTTACGTGATCATAGCATACTCGAATAAGTCATTTGTTTAATCTTTTGTAGAGAAAAATTAAAGAGATAGAGATGCTAGAAGAATCATCAAAAGAATAGGAAGAGAGAGAAAAGAAGTTTAAAGTTATTGCAGAAGAGTTATCTTGATTTAGAATACGCCTCAATCCTCAATATTAGGTTCTCTTTACGCCTCATTATTAGGCTCTCTTTCTAGAGTAGGAACAAGTTGTATAGTTATTTTCTCTCCTTATAATATCAAGTTGTTGATACAGTACATACTTGAGCCCACGGTCAAGTAACAGAAAATAAGGCAAATAATTCTTCTCTCTATTTTCTAATAAAATTAATAATAATAATAATTTGTAAAGACTGTCCAAAAATTTTCTTCTACTCTATGCAAGGTAGCTGAGCATCTAAATTTGCTTATTGTTATTTTTTTTTTTACTGATCATGGACGGCTGAAAATCAAGCAGCTGGCATCTTCTTTCTTCCATCTTTTTGTTGCTGAAAATTAGTGCATATTTTTTTTATTATTGAGTCTTATTATGCACACTCCAATTCTATTGAAGTAAAGGCTTACATATCAATTGCATGTTTTTTTTTTTTTTTTGTGACCTATAATTTAGGGATTTTTGACATATTTTATTTTAATAATAATTGTCAATGCATTGCATAATTATCCTATGCTTTGGTCTTTTTAAGTTAGAAAATTCAATGATCTTGATTTTGTGAATTTTTTTTTCCTTTTTTTTTTAAAAAAAAATATCAAATATCATTGTAGACTTTCTATCTTGCGCTAAGACATATTTACATATTTAATGAAAATTAATCTTATGCAAGATTTGACATAAAAATAGTTGTTGCCTTACTTTATTAAGTTTAGTTGCATCACAGTAGTGCGAACATAAATTGTTCGAGAAAAATTTTCTTTGAAGTTGCAAATCACTGAGAGTTAGCAAGCCTATTGAGTTAACTAGCAGACAACCTTTTCTTAAACACAATTAAATTTATTTATTTTTTTGAACTTTTAGGTATTATCTAAAAAATTAAAATGGCATCTAGGCTAGTCATGTCAGAATTATCCAAACTTGAAAAACTCAATGGGACCAATTTTTCTGTGGAAAAGAAAATTTTGATATATTCTTTTCCAAGATAAGATAGATTATGTCCTAAAAACAGAACCACCAGTTTTAGAGCCTAATGCCAATGGTCAAGCCAGAAGGCGACTTGAAAGATGGTTAGAAGATGACAAAGTAGTTAGGACTATTATGTTGAGCTTTATGGAAGATGATTTAATTAGAGTCTTTAGGATTACACCACAACTTAAAGTATAATAGGCGTCGTATCTGAAAAGTATGGAACCACTTCTGAGACGCATGTACAATTGTTGTTAGAAAAATACAATTCTTACAAAATGAAAGAAACAGACTTAGTGGTCGAGCATGTCAATACAATGACAGTGCTCGCAAAGGACCTTGCTGCAGCTGGGAATCCAGTCCTTGATCGCATGCAAGTGTCCATTGTTCTTAACAGTCTCCCTCCATCTTGGGAGTCTGTTATAATTGCATTGAATCATTCTGCACAAGGGATAGTCATGTTAAATCTTCCCATGCATCTTAGTATTGAAGCTGAGAGAAGAATGAGAAAGAAGTCACATGAGCTCCACTTTGCTCAAAGTTCATCTTCTCATATCCTTAAGAAACCTTTCAATTATCAAAAAAATAATATGTATAAGGGAATGAGGAGAAATTTTAAAAATCAAAAGAATAAGGTTGAGAAGACCTATTTTTATTGTAAGAAAATTGGGCACATCAAGTTTAATTGTCCTAAGCTAAAAATAAAAATAGGAATCAAGATAACAACCATGTTCGAAATAATCAAAATAAGAAAAAAGGACTTGATCTGCGTAGTCCTAGAATCAATAGTTGTCGATCATGACCTGAGAAATTTGTGGGTCAATTCAGCCTCCACACGACATGTCTTGAAGACAAAATATGGATTCAAAGAATTGAAAAAGATTGCAGGCAGTAACCAACGGATTTATATGGCCAATGACACTTATTGCGATGTACTAGGTGTTGGTACTTTCAAGCTGTGTTGACCAAGATGAAC